TGGCCTATGAGACCAAAGTAAGGTGCAATGTATATATATACACTCGTTGTATACAACACAATAAGCACACAAACATAATTATCAATATATTGTTTACAAAACTTGTTTACAAAAACAAACAAACAATCATCCTCCTCCTCCTCCTTCTCCTCCTCCTCCTTCTCCTCCTCCTCCTTCTCCCCTCCTCCTTCTCCTTCTCCTCCCTCCTTCTCCTCCTCCTCCTTCTCCTCCTCCTTCTTCTCCTCCTCTCCTCCTCCTTCTCTTCCTCCTTCTCCTCCTCCTTCTCTCCTCCTTCTCCTCCTCCTCCTCCTCCTCCTTCTCCTCCTCCTTCTTCTCCTCCTTCTCCTCCTCCTTCTCTTTCCTCCTTCTCCTCCTCCTTCTCCTCCTCCTTCTCCTCCTCCTCCTCCTTCTCCTCTCCTCCTCCCTTTCTCCTCCTCCTCCTTCTCCTCCTCCTCCTTCTCCTCCTCCTCCTTCTCCTTCTCCTTCTCCTCCTTCTCTTTCCTCCTCCTCCTCTTCTCCTCCCTCCTCCTCCTTCTTCTCCTCCTTCTCTCCTCCTTCTCCTCCTCCTCCTCCCTCCTCTTCCTTCCCTCCTCCTCCCTCCTCCTCCTCTTCCTCCCCTCCTCCTCCTCCATTGCTTTTGGTCTCAAACTCCTCCAAATCATGAAATTGATCTTCACTGACACTTCCATCTGTGTTAGAGCATCACTTGGGAAGAGAAGAGTCCCAGATTTGCTGGGGAATCACATATTTCTTACCGCTAGACATGCTGAAAAAGGACAACTGAAATGGCATTCCCACAATGCACCACTGGCTCCCCGATTTTTTTTATATGGTGCACACTGACCATGGAGACCCATTCTCTCACATGTGGGCCTACCAGCTTTCTCCTACTTGATTTGAAGCTGCTAGAATTTATGCGTATAAATACGTCAGAAACATTGGCTCGTAAGACGTATTTATACGTCGGAAACAGTCAAAGGGTTAAGGAATCATAAAAGCTTAAGTTATTCCCAACTAGTAAGCACAAAAATACTTACACCAAACCTTCACTGACCTACATTTTCCTTCATTTTTCATCAAAGACTACAAGAAAAGAGCTCTTCAGATCATCAGTTCTCCACACACCAACACCACTCCTAACAAAGTTATAATCCTTCCCAACAGCCAAGTTGCATTGAATGTTTCCAAAGTACTTTCACAAACTAACACTAGAGTCGCCATCACATCCAGCACTTCCATACGGGATCTAACCAGGACAAAATCGAACAACCACGAACCAGTCAATGCAGAAGTTTACACTATACCTTTTGGAGGCTGTGACAGGATACATGTAGGTGAAAAAGCAAGGAACCTTGAAACACGCCTCAATGAACACATTAACACATGTAGGAATGAAAACTTTAACAACGCCTGTGTACAACACCGGAATTCCATCAATCACCTAATGAAATTCAACGACACCCAACTAGTAATCAGAGAACCCAATTTCTGCAGAGGTAAATGCCTTGAATCACCATTAATCACTGTTTCTAAAACAATCAAGCAAAATAAAGGCAGCTTCACCATCTCTGAAGTATTAGCAAGAATCCTCCTCAAAACAATAAACCCTGCCATCACATAGTCTCTGCTGCTAATGCTACACAAGAACATAACAGAGGAGGAACACTGAAACAGACCTTCTCAAATCCAACCACTAACAGAAATATCTGTCTAACCTATTTTTATGCTACCCAAGTACATAATAGCTTTTATAACCTTTTACTCCGGTGCAAGTTGATTGTTCTACCATATTGTATTACTATTACTACTACAACTAATATTACTACTACTACTACTGTTACTATTACCACTTGTATTACACCTCACTGTAAGCCTATATATACCCTCTGTGTCCATGTATTATTTGTAATGGCTTGATAAAGCTCCTGGAGAGCGCAACAGTGCCATAATAAAATGTCACATTAGTTGCACTTGCGTCCTTTTACCTAACAAAAATAAAGAATGCTGATAAATTTTATCTATGCATATTATTAAAAACAAGACTAGTAGGTTCATTTCCATGAAGCACAAACATAAGACATTATCATTACACAACAATACCATTTGTACAAGTCACCTCCTGTAACTCGAAACTCTTTCAGTGTCTCCCATGTACATATATATATATCATACATTTTTGAGGCCACTGGCAGTTACATATATATCAGTTTACATTTTATCATAGTGCCATCAAATATGTTGTGAGTGGTAAATTTTGGCCTAGACATGAGAGAATGGGTCTGTGTGATGAGTGAGTACAGCCTCTCCTCACTTAATGATGGAGATCCATTCCTAAGACCACATCAGTAAACAAATTCATCGGTAAGTGAGGAGCATGCTATAATGGTAGTGGGTGTGTGTCAACTATCTTTGATATTGTTTTAATGTCACTTTTGCACCATTTATAACATTTGTGGTATATTTTTAAATGTTTATACATGAGTGTACTGTATATTGTAATAAGTAGAATAGAGGAAATCAGTTCTAATATACATTATTTAGGCATGCATACTGGTCAGAGAGCCCATCATAAGTCCAAGGCATCGGTAAACGAGTACGCGCTAAGTGAGGAGAGGCTATACAGTACAAAAAAATTGTGTCCTGTGCAGTGCATGATGGGGACACCTTATTTCTGACCTTGTGCTTCGGTTAAAATAGCGACTGTGAACTATTTTTTTTGGCCGTTTCTTGGTGTCATTTGATCAACTGGAAGATATACTACCTGGAGGTTATTCCGGGGATCAATGCCCCCGCGGCCCAGTCCATGTCCAGGTGAGATGGAGATGATTGTGGTCAGTTTTTGACTGGAAGTGGACTGTTGTAAGCTCAGAAAGACTGGAAATGGACTGTTGTAGGCTCAGGAAGACTGGAAGTGGACTGTTGTAGTCAATTTCCCTGAGGAAGGGTAGAGGACCGTCTATCTCATCAACATGTCCCCAGGCCTCTTCTATATAACACTTGCCTTCCATTCTGAATTCTCAATCACAAAAACCAGAGTATTTACTCTATTTCCCAGATAATAAAATATAACCAGAAATGATTGGTCATGGTTTACAAGTGTCCCAATAATTGAATTAGAACTATTAAAAACCTATAAAACAGACTGAGGAGTGTAAGTGGACCTTAACGGTCCTTACTTTGAACTCAGTTTCAAACTACTTCTTCTCCTGAAACCAATCAAAATCATCTCCGTTTCAGAAGTATGCATGTCTTCCATTTTATTGACTGATACCAAAAAACAGACAAAAAAAAAAGGAAAAAAAAAATATGAGAAAACACCTCGCATTTGCTATTTTAAACCATACACATGGTCACAGTTTTCTCCCATCATGCACTGTGTGGAGCAGAATTTATTTTATACTGTGCACATTCACTGCATAGATCCATTCTCTCATATCTAGGCAAAAATTTACTGCTCACAGCTTATCTGAATGAGCTGAGCTCATGACATAGAACTACACAAGGGACCCTGACCTCAATGACATAGTTCTATGTGATGGCCACTAAAAGGGTTAAGCATTAATGCCAATTTGGTTAGCAAAATCATTTTAGCAACATATGCATTTGAGAAAAAGCTCTATAATGATAACTGATGCCTGTTTTTTGATAAGTATTGCTTGCTGTGGTTCTTGTCAGCAGGTTGGAGTAAAAGCAAGTTGTCAATCTTCGTCACCTTTTTCTTAGGTTAATACTGCTGGGGAGCTTAGCAAGTTACAAAAAAAAAAAAAATAGAATGGAACACAATGAAGTGAGCAGATTCATACGACACGAAGACAGAGAATTGTTTGAATAATGAATTACAGTATCCAGAATGCAAGAGTAAGCAATAATGTTTCTAAATTGTACTGTACTAGAGTACAGTGGACCCCCGCATAGCGAACGCCTTGCATAGCGAACAATCCGCATAGCGAACGCTTTGTTCGCTAAAATTTTGCCCCGCATAGTGGACAAAAACCCGCTCAGCGACCTTCGTCCGAGACGCGTCCAATGTGCGGCCTCAGCCAGCCTCACATGTGCCGCCCGTCCCATTGTTTACCAGCCAGCCTCCGCGGTAACATTCAAGCATACACTCGGAATATTTCGTATTATTACAGTGTTTTCGGTGCTGTTTCTGGAAAATAAGTGACCATGGGCCCCAAGAAAGCTTCTAGTGCCAACCCTGTGGTAAAAAGGGTGAGAATTAGTATGGAAATTAAGAAAGATTTTGAAGGGTTTTGGGCTAACCCTGAGAAAGCCTATGCCAGTTGTGGAATCCATTGTGCCTACTTCAAAAATTAAGGAAATGTGTGCACAGTGGGTTGAACTGCAAACCTTTATGGATGAAAATCACCCTGACACAGCTGTTGCAAGCCGTGCTGGTGACTATTTCAATGACAAGTTATGGCCCATTTTAGACAAATCGTAAAGGAACGGGAGGTACAGAGCTCTATGGACAGATTTGTTGTGCGACAGAGGTCCAGTGACTCTGAAGCTGGTCCTAGTGGCATTAAAAGAAGAAGGGAAGTAACCCCGGAAAAGGACTTGCTACCTCAAGTCCTAATGGAAGGGGATTCCCCTTCTAAACACTAACACTCTCTCTCCCCTCCTCCCATCCCATCAATCATCACCAGATCTTCAATAAAAGTAAGTGTCATGTAATTGTGCATGCCTTTTTCAGTTTGTGTGTACTAAAATTAACATTTTTTTGTGGTAAAAAAAATTTTTTTTCATACTTTTGGGTGTCTTGCACGGATTAATTTTATTTCCATTATTTCTTATGGGGAAAATTAATTCGCATAGCGAACATTTCGCATAACGACCAGCCCTCTTGCACGGATTAAGTTCGCTATGCGGGGGTCCACTGTATAATAAAATTCAAAGAAGTAAATTTAATAATTCATAAAATCTAACAATAATTCATTATACATTTGTATAAATTTTGCATACTAAATTAATGAGGTTAAAAGATAAGAGCAACTTACTAGACATAGTGAGTAAATATTGTGAAGGAAAATTCTCTGGAAGACTTCAGTAAGTGTAGTCACCTTCACACCCAATTTTTGGCAGAAATAATCTGAAACACGAAGGAGTCACCTCAGCATATTTATAAGCGAAAAATCTACCTTTATCCAACAAAAATTAGTTGAATATAATTCTGAAAATACTGAGAAATAAATGTCTGGTCATGATATAATGAATCTAACTTCTGTATAAAGAATGATATTTAGTCAACCTAGGAGCAAGGAGCTAGTAACCCCTTTTCCTCTATAAATTACTAAATGTGAGAAGGAAAACTTTCATCCTCTCTTCAAGGTGAAACCTTTAATAGTTAGGCAAGATGAGTCTATAAGAATGTATGTACAGTAGCTAACCACTAGTAAGTATACTGAGAGAAAAAAAAAAAAAAAACAGTAGAACACATCTGTTAATGTGACTCACAGTTTGGTCAGTCTCAAGGACCCCAGAGAAAATACATCACATTATTTGACTTCACTGGGTTATCGATAATGATAAATTGTCAGTGTCGGCGACAAATAATAATAATAATAACAATAATAATAATAATAATAATAACAATAATAATAATAATAATAATAACAATAATAATAATAAAATAAAAGAAGAGAGAAGAAGAAGAAGAAGAAGAAGAAGAAGAAGAAGAAGAAGAAGAAGAAAAGAAGAAGAAGAAGAAGAAGAAGAAGAAGAAGAAGAAGAAAGAAGAAGAAGAAGAAGAAGAAGAATAGTAGTAGTAGTAGTAGTAGTAGTAGTAGTAGTAGTAGTAGTAGTAGTAGTATAGGTAGTAGTGGAGTGTAGTGGTAGTATAGTAATAGTAGTAGAGTAATAGTAGTAGTAATAGTAGTAGTAGTAGTAATAGCAGTAGTAGTAATAGTAGTAGTAATAGTAGTAGTAATAGTAGTAGTAGTAATAGTAATAGTAGTAATAGTAGTAGTAATAGTAATAGTAGTAATAGTAGTAGTAGTAGTAATAGTAGTAATAGTAGTAGTAGTAGTAATAGTAATAGTAGTAGTAGCAGCAGTAGTAGTAGCAGTAGTAGTAGTAGTAGTAATAGTAATAGTAGTAGTAATAGTAGTAGTAATAGTAGTAGTAATAGTAGTAGTAGTAATAGTAGTAGTAATAGTAGTAGTAATAGTAGTAATAGTAGTAGTAATAGTAGTAGTAATAGTAGTAGTAACAGCAGTAGCAACAGTAGTAGTAACAGTAGTAGTAGTAACAGTAGTAGTAATAGTAGTAATAGTAGTAGTAATAGTAGTAACAGTAATAGTAGTAATACTAATAGTAGTAATAGTAGTAATAGTAATAGTAGTAATAGTAATAGTAGTAATAGTAATAGTAGTAATAGTAGTAATAGTAATAGTAGTAATAGTAGTAATAGTAGTAATAGTAATAGTAGTAATAGTAATAGTAGTAATAGTAATAGTAGTAATAGTAGTTGTATTAATAATAATTTTTATTTGGACATGATACATAGTTGTACAAGGAATTACAGTAGTTGGGTGTACATGCCAAAAGCCCCTTGTATGAAGAGCATTATAGGCAGGCTTAAAATTAATTTAAGATTAACTAAGCAATGATACATTTCAGTGATAAAAATTACAGTAAACAATTTATAATATGAAGTACAAATGAGTATTTTAAACAATGAAATTTGAACATTTCAATTATGAAGCATTACAGCTGTACAAATTTGTAGCATTACAATGTATAATATAACAAAATGATCAATATATTATATGTAGTCATACAATTTATTAATCCAATCAAATTGAATAAAATCAATGATTTGTAGTGCAGAAACAGGTCATATGGTCATTAGATGAGTTACTCAAGAGAACAGATTATTCTATTAGGTAATGTAATTAAAAACATAGTTTGATAGTCACGGGTTATACATTTATGAAATACATACAGTTATTTAATATTTATTTAGTTGTGGGTGAGTAAGCGCTTTTAAGAAGAGTCTTGAACTGATAAACAGTGTTTCTTTTGTATTCACAGGTAATGAATTCCAAATTTTTGGGCCTTTTATGTGCATTGAGTTTTTACACAGTGTGAGATGGACACAAGGAACATCAAAGAGTGATCTGTGCCTTGTGTTATGGTCGTGTGTTCTGTTGAGGTTGGTAAGGAGAAGTTTGAGGGGAGGGTTTATATCTGGGTTTAGTGTTCTATGTATGTAGTAGGTGCAGTAAAAAGTATGGATGTTTTGTACAGTGAGTAAGTTTAGAGTTTTGAACATTGGTGGAGTGTGCTGCCTGGAGTGGGAATTTATCATCATTCTGACTGCAGCCTTTTGTTGGGCAATTAATGATCTGAGATGATTTATTGTTGAGCCCCATGCACAGATTCCATAGGCGAGATAGGGGTAAATGAGTAAGTGATATAGGGCCAGGAGAGCTGATTGTGGAACATAGTACCGTATCTTCGATAGTATGCCTACGGTCTTGGAGATTTTCTTGGAAATTTGTTGTACATGTGTTTGAAATTTGAGTCTATTATCAAGGTGGATTCCTAAGAATTTTCCCTCTGTGAGCTTTGTGATAGGTGATCCGTTTATCATTATGTTAAGAGGAACATCTGTAGTTCTGTTCCCGAACTGAATGAAGTAGGTTTTGTCAATACTGAGAGTAAGCTTGTTAATCATCATCCAAGTAGATATTTTCTGTAATTCAGTATTTACAGTATTGGCTAGTATGACTGGGCTTGGGTGAGAGAAGACATATGTAGTGTCATTCAAATTCAAATTCATTTATTTCCTTGCAAGTAGTACATTGAGATTATATTTTTACAATAATGGGTTGAAGTGCAAAGAGCCTCTATTGTGCCTTGGCATTATGGGTTAACTTAATTTAATGGCTTACTGACTACTTAACACTAAGGAAATTTATCATAGTTGTACAGTGGTTCTATTAATTATAAGTGATGCATTTGGTAGGTCATTTATATAAGCGAGAAAGAGAAGAGGGCCCAGGACACTTCCCTATGGGGCACCAACTGTAATCAGTTGTGTGGAAGAGTTTGCCCCATTTGTGTACACATATTGGCTTCTGTTGTTAAGGTACGACTTTAGGTAGTTGAGGGAGTGCCCTCTTATACCATAGTGAGACAATTTTATGTGCAGCAAATCATGGTCAACTGTATCAAAAGCTTTACATAAATCAATGAAGATCCCCAGCGGGACTTCTTTTTTCTCGAGTGTAGTCATTTAGTCACTTAGTACTTAGTCAACTTACTCCACAATTTGTAATAATTTAGGGTTAAGAATTAATCTAAGTTTGTCCGAAATGCCTAGCCATGCTAGGTGTTCTAGTGGCCCCCACTGTAATTAGTATTTTATTACATGTAAATCACACAATAACCAAAATCTGTAAACCCTGCATTGTAATCCTTATGGAGAATAAACTTTGATTTGATTGATTGATTGATATTCTAGCACGTGTATAATAGCATCATTCGTATTTTTATTAGGCCTGAACCCAAACTGACAGGGGTTGAGTATGTTGTAGTAATAGTAGTAATGGTAATAGTAGTAATAGTAGTATTAGTACTAGTAGTAATAATAATAATAATAATAATAATAATAATAATAATAATAATAATAATAAAAATAATAATAATAATAATAATAATAATAATTCAAATTCAAATTCAAAGTTTATTCTCTATAAGGATTACAATGCTGAGTTTACAGAATTTGGTTATTGTGTGGTTTACATGTAGTAAAATAATTACAGTGTGTACCACTAGAACACCTAGCATGGCTAGGCATTTCGGGCAGACTTATATTAAATCTTAAGTTTAAAATATTACAAAATTATTAGGTAAGTTGGTATTATGGCTAAGTGACTAAATACTAGTTTGTGAGTTTAGCAATGTGAATGCCTTTGTTTTGGCACTATACATAGTTTCAGTATTGGAGTATCACAGGCCAACTTATGACTAGTTAAGATTCATTATTTTGAGATTGAGATTGATATTTCCGTTTATGGTCAAATGGGTGAGTGAGTGTAAGTGTGAACCACCAGGTGGTATTCGTGTAGTTAGTTGATGGGGTGTATCAGGGAGATAAGATGTTTTCTAATGGTAGTTTTGAAGGTGATGTGTCTGCAGTTCTAGAGTTCTCAGGTAGGGTGTTCCAGATTTTAGGGCCTTTGACATACATTGAATTTTTGTAGAGGTTTAGTCGGACACGGGGAATGTCGTAGAGATGTTTGTGTCTGGTGTTGTGCCTGTGGGTTCTGTCACAACTATCAAGAAAGCATTTTAGGTCAAGGTTGATATTGGAGTTTAAGGTCCTGTAGATGTAGATTGCACAGTAGTAAGTGTGGATGTACTGAACAGGGAGTAAGTTTAGATCTATGAAGAGTGGGGGGGTGTGTTGCCAGGGATGGGATTTAGTGATTATTCTTACTGCAGCATTTTGTTGGGTTATTATTGGCTTTAGGTGTGTTGCTGCAGTTGATCCCCAAGCACAAATAGCATAGGTGAGGTATGGATAAATAAGTGAGTGGTATAGTGTGAGAAGGGCAGGTCTCCCGGGAAGCCCTAAGAGCTTAGTACAGAAATTCCGGAGCTGCTCATGACAACATGCTATAAACGTTGATAAATGAGACACATGTGCAACACTTGTGTGTGTATATTATGGAAACATTTTGCCACAAAGTGCCTTCATCAGTCCAATAGAAAGAAAAACGGTTGAAATCAATCAATCAGTCAGTCCCTCAGCCTGAGCGACTGACTACCCCAAACTCCTTCAGATCACCACCATTATTCTTCATCTTGCACTGATGATGCCACTATGTGGCAAAACGTTTCCATTATAAAAAAAAAAATACTCAAAAGTCTTGCACGTGTCTAAGTTATCAACTTGTCGGTTCTCTGAACCATTTATCTACATTATAAACATGTGTCCATAACACCTGTCTACCCTCAAAACCATATTGAAAGACAAACATATGTCACCTTAATATAAACAAAAAAAAAAAAAATAGAAAAATCAAGTAAAAAAATGTAAACCCAAAAATCCCATGAAAAAATGTGGCATCCACAAGTATTCTTTTCTTCCAATTTTTGAAATTAGAATTAGAGAGCGTGGAGGATAATACCAAATGTGTGTTTAGAAGTGCCCCCAGGGAGCCAGGGAGGGTATATAATGGTCAAATATGGGTGGGTAATAGAGAGAAAACAGTGAAAAACAGAGAGAGAGAAGGAGGAATGTCCAAGACCAACCTTGTTGACTAGTTCTTGGTGTTGGTGTTGTTAAGGTGCACCTCAGTGTACGTCTTAGTGAACCCTTATTCCACTCCTTGGACACATTATGTACCTCTGTAATGTTGAAGTACAGTCCCTGGACACATTATTTACCTCTGTAATGTTGAGGTACAGTCCCTGCACACATTATGTACCTCTGTAATGTTGAGGTACAGTCCCTGGACACATTATGTACCTCTGTAATGTTGAGGTACAGTCCCTGCACACATTATGTACCTGTGTAATGTTGAGGTACAGTCCCTGGACACATTATGTACCTCTATAATGTTAAGGTACAGTTTCTAGACACATTTTGCACCTCTGTAATGTTGAGGTAGAGTCCCTGGACACATTATGTGCCTCTATAATGTTGAGGTACAATCCCTGGACACATTATGTACCTCTATAATGTTGAGGTACAGTCCCTGGACATATATACCTCTGTAATGTTGAGGTAGAGTCCCTAGACACGTTATGTACCTATGTAATGTTGAGGTACAGTCCTTGGACACATTATGTTCCTCTGTAATGTTCAGGTACAGTCCCTGGACACATTATATACCTGTGTAATGTTGAGGTACAGTCCTTAGACACACTATTACCTGTGTAATGTGGAGGAACAGTCCCTGGACACATTATGTACCTGTGTAATGTTGAGGTACAGTCATTGAACACATTATGTGCCTGTGGAGCATTGAGGTACAGTCCCCGGACACATTATGTACCTCTGTAATGTTGAGGTGTAGTTCCTGGACACATTATGTACCTCTGTAATGTTGAGGTAGAGCCCCTTGGCACATTATGTACCTGTGTAATGTTGGGGTACAGTCCTCGGACACATTATGTACATCTGTAATGTTGAGGTACAGTCCCTAGACATATTATTACTTCTGTAATGTTGAGGTATAGTAACTGGACACATTATGCACCTGTGTAATGTTGAGGTACAGTCCCTGGACACATTATTACCTCTGTAATGTTGAGGTACAGTCCCTGGACACATTATGTACCTGTGTAATGTTGAAGTACAGTCCCTGAACACATTTTGTGCCTTTGTAATGTTGAGGTACAGACCCTGAACACAATATGTACCTCTGTAATATTGAGGTACAGTCCCTGGACACATTATGTGCCTCTGTATTGTTGAGGTATAGTCCCTAAACACATTATGTACCTCTGTAATGTTCGGATACAGTCCCTAGACACATCATTACCTCTGTAATGTTGAGGTAAAGTCCCTGGACACATTATGTACATGTGTATTGTTAAGGTACAGTCCCTGAACACATTATATACCTCAGTAATGTTGAGGCACAGTCCCTAAACACATTATGTACCTGTGTAATGTTGAGGTACAGTCATTAAACACATTATGTACCTCAGTAATGTTGAGGTACAGTCCTTAGAAACATTATGTACCACTGTAATGCTGAGGTACAGTCCCTAGACACATCATTACCTCTGTAATTTTGATGTACAGTTCCTGGACATATTATATACCTCTGTAATGTTGAGGTACAGTCCCTGGACACATTATTACATCTGTAATGTTGAGGTACAGTCCCTGGACATAATATTACCTCTGTAATGTTAAGTTACAGTTCCTGGACGCAGAATGTTCCTCTTTAATGTTGAGGTACAATCCCTGGACACATTATGTACCTCTTTAATGCTGAGGTACAGTCCCTGGACTCATTATTACCTCTGTGATGTTGAGGTACATTCCCTGGACACATTATCTGCCTCTGTAATGTTGAGGTACAGTTCCTGGACACATTATATACCTCTGTAATGTTGAGGCACATTCCCTGGACACATTTTCTGCCTCTATAATGTGAATGTACAGTCCCTGGACACATTATGTACCTCTGTAATGTTGAGGTATAGTCCCTGGACACATTATGTACGTCTGTAATGTTGAGGTACAGTCCCTGGACCCATTATTACCTCTGTAATATTGAGCTACAGTCCTTGGGCACATTATATACCTCTGTAATGTTGAGGTACAGTCCCTGGACCCATTATTACCTCTGTAATATTGAGCTACAGTCCTTGGACACATTATATACCTCTGTAATGTTGAGATACAGTCCCTGGACACATTATGTACCTCTGTAATGTTAATGTACAGTCCCTGACCCATTTTGTATCTCTGTAATGTTGAGGTACAGTCCCAGAACCCATTATGTACCTCTGTAATGTTGAAGTACAGTCCCTGAACCCATTATGTACCTCTGTAATGTTGAGGCACATTCCCTGGACCCATTAGTCACCCAAGTTAACCCATTAAAGTTAGTGCGTCTTCGAGGACTGTCTGTCATATTTCCATTGTGGTCCTCAATCTTGTCCCCCAGGGTGCCACCCACACCAGTCGACTAACATCCAGGTACTTATTTGCTGCTAGGTGAACAGGACAACAGGTGTAAGGGAACATGTTGTAATGTTTCCACCCTCCGGGAATCGAACCCGGGCTCTCCGTGTGTGAAGCGAGAGCTTTCCACCAGGCCACATGGCCTGGTAATGTTGAGGTATAGTCCCTGGACTCATTATGTGCCTCTGTAATGCTGAGGTACAGTCCCTGGACCCATTATGTACTCACTTATATGTACTCACCTATATGTGGCTGCAGGGGTTGAGTCATAGCTCCTGGCCCCGCCTCTTCACTGGTCGACACTAAGTCACTCTCTCCCTGCTCTATGAGCTTCATTATTCCTCTTCTTAAAGCTATGTATGGAATTTGCCTCCACCACTTCATTCTCCAGATTATTCCACTTCCTGACTACTCTGAGGTTAAAGAAATGCTTCGTAACATCCCTATTACTCATCTGGGTTTTCAACTGCCAACTGTGGCCCCTTGTTCCTGTATCCCATCTCTGAAACATTCGAGCCCTGTCCACCATGTTAATTCCTCTCAGTATTTCATGACTTTGTACTTGGTGGGGTTGAACTCCAGGAGCCAGTTGTTGGACTAGGTTTACAGCCTGTCCAGATCCCTTTGTAGCTCAGCCTGATCCTGTTCCATTTGAATTCTCCGCATTAGCTTCACATCGTCTGCAAACAGGGACAACTCTGAATCTACTCCTTCCGTCATGTCGTTCACATATACCAGAAACAGCACTGGTCCTAGGACTGACCCTTGTGGAACCCACTCGTCACAGTCGTCCACTCCGACACCTCGTCACGTACCACCACCCGTTGTTTCCTTCCTGTCAGATATTTTCTGATCCACTGTAGTGCCTTCAGTGTTATTCCTGCCTCCTCCTCCTCCTGTCTCCTCCTCCTGCCTCCTCCTCCTGCCTCCTCCTCCTGTCTCCTCCTCCTGCCTCCTCCTCCCGCCTCCTCCTCCTGCCTCCTCCTCCTGTCTCCTCCTCCTGCCTCCTCCTCCTCCTGTCTCCTCCTCCTGCCTCCTACTCCTGCCTCCTCCTCCTGCCTCCTCCTCCTGCCTCCTCCTCCTGCCTCCTCATCCTGCCTCCTCTTCCTGCCTCCTCCTCCTGTCTCCTACTCCTGCCTCCTCCTCCTGCCTCCTCCTCCTGCCTCCTCATCCTGACTCCTCTTCCTGCCTCCTCCTCCTGTCTCCTATTCCTGCCTCCTCCTCCTGTCTCCTACTCCTGCCTCCTCCTCCTGCCTCCTCCTCCTGCCTCCTCATCCTGACTCCTCTTCCTGCCTCCTCCTCCTGCCTCCTACTCCTGCCTCCTCCTCCTGCCTCCTCCTCCTGCCTCCTCCTCCTGCCTCCTCATCCTGCCTCCTCTTCCTGCCTCCTCCTCCTGTCTCCTACTCCTGCCTCCTCCTCCTGCCTCCTCCTCCTGCCTCCTCATCCTGACTCCTCTTCCTGCCTCCTCCTCCTGTCTCCTACTCCTGCCTCCTCCTCTTGCCTCCTCCTCCTGCCTCCTCATCCTGACTCCTCTTCCTGCCTCCTCCTCCTGCATCCTCCTCCTCCTGCCTCCTCCTCCTGCCTTCTCCTCCTGCCTCCTCCTCCTCCTGCCTCCTCCTCCTCCTGCCTCCTCCTCCTCCTGCCTCCTCCTGCCTCCTCCTCCTTCTCCTCCTGCCTCCTCCTCCTGCCTCCTCCTCCAGCCTCCTCCTCCTCCTGCCTCCTCCTCCTGCCTCCTCCTCCTCCTGCCTCCTCCTCCTCTGCCTCCTCCTCCTGCCTCCTCCTCCTGCCTCCTCCTCCTGCCTCCTCCTCCCCCTGCCTCCTCCTCCTGCCTCCTCCTCCCTGCCTCCTCCTCCCCCTGCCTCCTCCTCTCCCTGCCTCCTCCTCCTCCTCCTTCCTCCTCCTCCTGCCTCCTCCTCCTCCTGCCTCCTCCTCCTCCTGCCTCCTCCTCCTGCCTCCTCCTCCTCCTGCCTCCTCCTCCTGCCTCCTCCTCCTGCCTCCTCCTCCTCCTCCTACCTCCTCCTCCTTCTGCCTCCTCCTCCTGCCTCCTCCTCCGCCTCCTCCTCCTGCCTCCTCCTCCTGACTCCTCCTCCCCCTGCCTCCTCCTCCTGCCTCCTCCTCCTCCTCCTCCTGCCTCCTCGTCCTCCTCCTGCCTCCTCCTCCTCCTGCCTCCTCCTCCTCCTGCCTCCTCCTCTTGCTTCCTCCTCCTCCTGCCTCCTCCTCCTCCTGCCTCCTCCTCCTCCTGCCTCCTCCTCCTGCCTCCTCCTCCTCCTGCCTCCTCCTCCTGCCTCCTCCTCCTCCTGCCTCCTCCTCCTCCTGCCTCCTCCTCCTCCTCCTGCCTCCTCCTCCTCCTGCCTCCCCCTCCTCCTCCTCCTGCCCTCCTCCTCCTCCTGCCTCCTCCTCCTGCCTCCTCCTCCTCCTGCCTCCTCCTCCTCCTGCCTCCCTCCTCCTCCTGCCTCCTCCCCCTCCTGCTTCCTCCTCCTGCCTCCTCCTCCACCTGCCCTCCTCCTCCTCCTCCTCCTCCTCCTCCTGCCTCCTCCTCCTCCTGCCTCCTCCTCCTGCCTCCTCCTCCTCCTGCCTCCTCCTCCTGCCTCCTCCTCCTCCTCCTGCCTCCTCCTCCTCCTGACTCCTCCTCCTCCTCCTGCCTCCTTCTCCTCCTGCC